TCTTAATCTACTCCCACAGTCGAGAGGAGCATGAGCAGCACCTTCGGATCATTCTTCAGACTCCTAAAGACAGCCATTTATATGCTAAGTTCTCAAAATGTGAGTTTTGGTTGAGTTCAGTTGCTTTCTTGGGTCACGTTGTATCAGCAGAGGGTATTCAGGTGGATCCTAAGAAGATTGAGCCAGTCCAGAACTGGCCTAGACCCACATCAACTACAGAGATCCGTAGTTTCCTAGGTTTGGCGGGCTATTACCGTCGATTTATGGAGGGGTTTTCATCCATAGCAGCCCTGTTGACCAGATTGACCCAGAAGGGTGCCCCGTTCAGGTGGTCAGACGAGTGTGAAGCGAGCTTTCTGAAACTCAAGACTACTTTGACAACGGCACCGGTATTGGTGTTAACCACAGGTTCAGGATCTTATACAGTATACTGTGACGCATCCCGTATTAGTCTGGGTGCAGTATTGATGCAGAGTGGCAAGGTTATTGCATATGCTTCACGCCAGCTGAAGGTTCACGAGAAAAATTACCCTGTTCATGATCTAGAACTGGCAGCCATTGTTCATGCGCTGAAGATTTGGAGGCACTATCTTTACGGCATGCCATGTGAGGTATTCACTGATAATCGGAGCTTGCAGTATTTGCTCAAGCAGAAGGAACTCAATTTGAGGTAGAGGAGGTGGCTGGAGCTATTGAAAAACTATGATATCACCATATTGTATCATCCTGGGAAGGCCAACATGGTGGCCGACGCTTTGAGTAGAAAGTCAGTTAGTATGGGTAGCCTTGCATATATTCCAGCTGGTGAGAGACTGCTTGCATTGGATGTTCAGGCCTTGGCTAACCAGTTCATGAGGTTAGATGTTTCTGAGCCCAGCCGTGTTCTAGCTTATACAGTCATTCGGTCTTCTTTGTTTGAGCGCATCAGATATCGGCAGGATAACGATCCGCATTTACTTTTCCTTAGAGACACAGTGCGGCACGGTGGTGCCAAGCAGGTTACTGTTGGAGATGACGGAGTTTTGAGGATGCAGGGTCATATTTGTGTGCCTAACGTGGATGGACTTTGTGAGTTGATCCTTAAAGAGTCCCACAGTTCCCGGTATTCTATTCATCCAGGCACTGCCAAGATGTATCAGGACTTGAGGCAGCATTATTGGTGGAGGCAAATGAAGAAGGACATAGCTGCCTATGTAGCTCGGTGCCTAAATTGCCAGCAGGTAAAGTGTGAGCATCAGAGACCTGGTGGTTTACTTCAGAGGTTAGAAATTCCTGAGTGGAAGTGGGAGCGTATCACTATGGATTTTGTTGTTGGACTCCCACTGACTCAGAGGAAGTTCGATGCATTTTGGGTCATTATGGAAAGGCTGACTAAGTCAGCGCATTTCATTCCTGTGGAAGTTACCTATTTCTCAGAGCGGTTGGCAAAGATTTACATTTGTGAGATCGTCCGTCTTCACGGTATGCCCGTGTCTATCATTTCTAATTGAGCTACGCACTTTACCTCTCACATTTGGAGGGTAGTTCAGCGTGAGTTGGGTACGCGGGTTGAGTTGAGCACATCATTTCATCCTCAGACAGACGGACAGTCCGAGCGTACTATTTAGATCTTGGAGGATATGCTCCGTGCTTGTGTTATAGACTTCGGAGGATCGTGGGATCAGTTTTTGCCCCTTGTAGAGTTCGCCTACAAAAACAGCTACCAGTCGAGCATTCAGATGGTTTCCTATGAGGCATTATATGGTAGGCGGTGTCAGTCGCCAGTTGGGTGGTTCGAGACGAGAGAGGCTCGGTTGTTGGGCATAGACTTAGTACAAGATGCCTTGGATAAGGTCAAGATTATTCAGGATCGACTTCGCACAGCCCAGTCCAAGTTGAAGAGTTATGCCGGCCGTAGAGTTCATGATGTTGCATTCATGGTCGGTGAAAGAGTGTTACTTCGGGTATCACCCATGAAGGGTGTAATGAGGTTCGAAAAGAAGGGCAAGTTGAGCCATAGGTATATCGGACCTTTTGAGATTCTGGAGAGAGTGAGAGAGATGGCTTACAGGCTTGCGTTGCCACCTAGTTTAGCAGTTGTTCATCGGTATTCCATGTGTCCATGCTTCAAAAGTATCACGGTGATCCGTCCCACATGTTAGATTTCAGCTCTGTCCAGTTGGACAATGATTTGACTTATGAAGAGGAGCCGGTGGCAATTCTAGCCCGGCAAGTTCGCCAGTTGAGATCAAAGAGTTACCCTTCAGTTCGAGTGTAGTGGAGAGGTCAGCCTATTGAGGCAGCTACTTGGGAGTCCGAGTCCGATATGCGGAGTAGATATCCCCACCTTTTCACCAGCCCAGGTACTTTTCTATGTCCGTTCGAGGACGAACGGTTGTTTTATGTGCTCTTACGCCTTAAAATTATCATTTTTACCCTGCTCGATTTGTGTGCGTAGTCCGAGCAGGTTTTCGGAAAGCTTTTATGTTAAAAATTGATGAAAATAAGAATTTATACCTTAAAAGTTGATTTTAGTTGACTTTGGTCAATAGTTTTAGTAAACGGGCCCGGATCCATATTTTGACTATTCCGGTGGGTCCGTATCGAATTATGGGACCTGGACGTATGACCGGAATCGAATTCGGAGGTCCCTAGCTCAAGTTATGAATTTTTGATGAAAATTAAAAGTCTGAAAATTAATTATTTTTAAGAATTGATTGATGTTTGGCACTGTTAGTGCCAGGTCCGTATTCTGGTTCTAGAGCCCGGTACAGGTTCATTATGATAATTAAGAATTGTCTGTGAAATTTGGTGAGAAACGGAGTTAATTTGACGTGATTCAGATGTCCAGTTGAGAAAAATAGAAATTTTAAAGTGTTCTTGAGAATTACATTTGATTTGGTGCTAAATTCGTAGTTCTAGGTGTTATTTTGGCGATTTGATCACGCGAGCAAGTTTGTATGATGTTTTTAGACTTGTGTGCATGTTTGGTTTGGAACCTCGAGGGCTCAGGTGAGTTTCGGATAGGCCACACGATGTTTTGGACTTTGGAAATCTGGAATTTTGCTGCAGCAAGTGTTCTGGCATGTCCTTCTTCGCGTTCGCGAAAGTACTCTCGCGAACGCGAAGAGTAAACTGGGCAGCTGAAGATTTCTTCTTCGCGAACGTGAAGGCTTGGTCGCGAACGCGAAGCGATGGGCGCGTTACCCTTCGCGAACACGACAAGCCCATCGTGAATGCATAGTGTTAGGCATTAGGGAGAGGGAGTCAGCCTTTCCTTCATCGCGAACGCGAAGGCCAGGGGGGAGTAACCATCGCGAACGCGAGCTGGGTCTCGCGAACGCCTAGGCTTGGCAGCCAGTACCCTTCGCGAACGCGACAGTGCTCTCGCGAACGCGATGAACATAGTCGCCCAGCACTTAACAGAATCCCAAAACGGGATTTTAGCCAAAAATTCATTTTCTCAAAAACCAAACGGTGAGAGGCAATTTTTCAAGAGCCATTTCTCCCCCAAATTGTTGGTAAGTGATTCTAAACCATTTTCTTTCAATTACCCATTACATTTCTTGAATTTTCAACCTAAAATCTAGAGTTTTCATGGTAGAATTAGGGGTTAGGTTAGAAACTATGGATTTCAGGACATGCTAAAACTAAGCAAAATTCGCAAAGGATACAAAGAGTAGACGTCTTACCTGGTTCAGTGCTTGTTGTTCCTCATTGAAGAGGCGCGATGTGCCTACTTCGTTCATCTTTACTTGGTCCTCCTCGGTCACCAGGCAACGAAGGTAGCTGGCCATAGCCACCAAAGCAGACAGCTCCCGGGCATCCGCTGGGATAGTAAGAATGGTCTTTCCCTTACGGTCGGGATCCACACTCGGGGCAGGGAACTGCCTCACTAGCTTTGAGCTCGATCTCGGCTCGCCCGCTACCAATAGAACGTCCTTTTTTGGGATCTCCAGGTGACCAAACCTGGAGTAGTCTTCAAACGCGCTCATGTCCATGCCGTCGAAGAACATGTTGAGGGCATCATCCGGGCCTGGTGCCATCTTGATTGAATTCTCTTTATCAGCTTGAGCCTCTTGGAACACAAACTCTCTATAGGATGGCGTCTCCATGATGTCGATGACACCGGCTACCTTCTTCGAGGCAGGAGCTACTTCTCTGGAAGTCATGGCCTCCAACTCTCCTTCTGGTCCCGAGTTAGAGGAAGATTGACCACTTGGCCACCTTTTTCGGTTGCTGCCTGCTCCCCCTCGTCGATGGTTGACCTGTGAGCAATGAACTTAAGGTCGTCATCCTCGGGGTAATCCCTGAGCCGAAAGAGGGAACCAGGGTCCGGTACCGTGGCTTTGGTGTCTTTTTTGTTGCTTTTCCAAACCCAGATAACTACCTTCTTCTTCTTCATCTCGGCATCCGGGGAGCCCGATGATTTCCTCTTTTTCTTCTTTTTCTCCTCCTTTGCGGCAGCTCCGGGCTGTCCCAAAGCGGAGGGTTAAGTGAGCGATGACGGGGCCTCATCCTCATCTAACGGCCTAATCTCGGTGGTCTTGGGAAAACCTGTGTGAAGGAAAGAGACTTGGCAAAGATACAAGTCAAGTATGTGAGTATAATTATTCGGGAGGAAGTCTCACCATTGGAATGGGCCTCCCACTTGCCCTTCGAGAGCTTGCGCCATTCGCGCTCGAAGTAAGAGATTTGTTTGCAGATCCCCTCGATCAACTCCTTGAAGCGGGGGATTGCATTAAGAACTTGGGCGACCACTACACAACGGTAAACACGGGCAATTAGAGAAAGAACAAAAGAAAGTGCCAAGCACTCAAGAAGGAAAATACTTACAGGATGGGTTACACTTTTCAGGGAATGGTAGAAATTCGGGGAGAATGAGGTCTTCGGTTTTCACCCGAACGAACCTTTCCTACCAACCTCGATCTCGATCTTCATCGATGCTTGAGAATGGAGCTTTACTTGATCGGTGAACGAGCTTGATTAACCCCCTCCCCCCCGGGGAAGATTCGGGGATAATGGAGACGAAGCAGATGGTCGAGGGTAAACCAAGGTGCTTCGGTGTTGTTTATGAAGTGGCGAAGGAGGATTACGATCCTCCAAAAGGATGGGTGAATCTGCCCAAGGTAGACCTCGTACCTTTTGCAGAAGTCGAGGATTATAGAGGCGTGAAGTGGTAAGTATAAACACTTAGGTACCCCTCCACGTGAGTGATGATGTCTTCGTTGGGCATAAGAATGACCACCTCCTTGCCCACAGTTGTAGTCCACCCGAACTGTGGGGAGTCTGTCCTCGGTAACGGAGCATATGTACCTCCATACTCCCTCGTATCAGTCATGTTGACTGGAGGCCTTCTCGACTTTGAAGTCATTTTTGATAGAGCAGCCCCCGGGAACGAAACTCTTCAAGGAGGCTCCGGGACCACCTCGGGAATGGCCACATCAGCATCCGTGGCTGGGTTAGAAGTTGAAGGGACGGTTTACTGAGGCACGGATTTGGAAGTTTTTGCTATAGGAAAATATGAAGGTTTGAAGAAAAATATGAAGGTATGAGAATGAAGATTTGAAGATGGAGATGAAGGTATGAAGGTCTGAGTTAAAGATTCAAAGAAGAAGTATGAAGATTTAAAGATGAAGATATGAAGATTTAAGAAGCAATATATGAAGATTTGAAGAGGGTAGAGTTAAGTGGAGAATTTGAGGGTAAATCAAAGAGCTCTGAAATCAAAAAGTGAAAAAATGAAAAAGGGATTAGAGTTTTATAGATGAAAGTTAACCAATGTGTGACGTGTCGCATTCGAGGACAATCAACTGACGGCTGACACGTGTCTGAAGTCAGAACAACGCGACTGATGAGACGTTTCGCTGACCCGTCAACTCGATCGGTTGTAACTTACGAAGGAAGGAACCTGGGTCAATTTATTGCTTTCCGTCGCTTTGATAAATCTACTCTTCGGAAAACGTGGGGACTATCTGTGTACAGATAAAATTGGGAGAAATATTTTCCCCGGTTCTCCGATGAGAGAACGAAGGGGAAGCATAGATCGACGTGATTATAATCGAGGCCAGAAACTCCTCACATCGAGACCCGTGAGGAATGAACAATGTATCTAAGACCAGACATGATAAACGTGGTGCATGACGGATAGGAGGCTGTAATATTCGCCCTCAACCGGATATTGCGGCATGAATCCCGTTCAGTATCAATTATGAATAAACAATTACCAAAAAAAAAAATAAGATTTTTACTTTTTTTAGACTTATATTAGGACTGAAATTCTCCTACTATATAAATGGGAAGTTTTTCTTTAGTCTGACACATTGTAACACATAATTCAAAGCAATAAAAGTTTACTTTTGTCTTCTAGCTACTATTCAAGGCATTATTCGCTTGTTCTTTTATTCGCTCGCGACCGAGCTTGTACCGAAGGTCCAATCGAGGACGAGTCTCATTGTCCAATCTGAGATCAGGTTTGGTCACTACATTGCGATTGGTTTGATCATTTATTTCGTCTTTAATTCATCTATCTTTTATTTTTAATTGTTCGTATTAAATTAAATCACGTATCCTTTAAACCGCATATAAATTTAATTGTTACTCATTTTTAGGGTAAACAAAAAGGATAACCCTTTACTTGCAGGAGCGATTTTCGCGATTATGCTGACCTTTGCTTCAAAGAATTTGGCGATAAGATTAAGCTTTGGACCACAATCAATGAGCCATGGACTTATGCCTCTATTGGCTATGACTCGGGCCAATTCGCACCCGGAAGATGTTCTGCTTGGATGAACAATAGTTGCGTTGCTGGGGACTCTGCAACTGAACCATATATAGTTGGCCACCACATGCTTCTTGCTCATGCTGAAGCAGCTAAAGTATATAGAACTAAATACAGGGTAAATGGACATGTTTTTTCCTTTTTGAGTCATGATATTATATTCAAGTCATCTCAACTGGAAATTTTTTTTTTTTTTTTTTTTTTTTTTTTTGCGTTTGATAAATTACATAGGCACTACAAAAGGGTGAGATAGGAATAGTGCTGGTGTCTCGTTGGTTTGAACAATACTCCAAGACTAAAGAAGATGCGAAAGCAGCTAAGCGAGCCATCGACTTCATGTTTGGATGGTTAGTACATTTTTAACCTATAGAATATGGTATTCCCTCCGTCCCAATTTAAGCATATGACCGTGTTTGACTTGGCACGAAATTAAAGAAAGAAAGAAAGATTTTTGATACTTGTAGTCTAAAATAAACTGTAAAAGTTTGTGTGACTAGAAATCAATTCATTAAGGGTATAAAGGAAAGCTTATAGTTAAATTGTTTCTAAATTAGAAAATATAATTTTTTTTGGTACAGACTAAAGGAAAATATGACACATAAATTAGACAAAGAGAATATTATTTACACCAATGGTCACTTTTTTGGCCTTATACTTAAAAGTTGGCTGTTTTTTCCAAAATTAGATCAGTGGTGTGAAATTACTTTTGAATTTTAGATTTCAAATCAGGTAAGCACTTTCGAACTCATTACCACTGGTCCAATTTTGAAAAAGTGGCCGACTTCAAAATACACCAAGAAAGTGACTATTTGTGTAATCATGGAATTTGCTTGGGTTAAGCTATATTACTAATCCTACTAAAGCCAAATATTCTCATTCATTGAGTCTAAGACGTTCAATATCTATTATTTTCTTGAATGTAGGTTTATAGATCCATTAACCTCTGGTGACTATCCAGAAAATATGCGTAGACTTGTGCAAGATCGCTTACCAAAATTCACGACAGAGCAAGCTGAGATGGTGAAAGGTTCCTATGATTTCTTGGGACTAAATTACTACACTTCGAATTATGCATCCAATGTTTCTCCGTATAAAGTGAACATTAGCTATTCAAGAGATTCTCAAGTAAATGAAACAAGTGAGTTCTAAAAGTCTTTCATGACCTAAACTAGTGAATGAAAATCCTTTTTAATCTTAATTTTTCCGTTATATGTAACCTTTATTTTCTTCTCCCTTTTTTAAAAAACATTTTGCAGCGGAAAGAAATGGAAAACTCATTGGTGAACCGGTAAACAACTTAACTACCTTTTTCCTCGCAAGCGAACGTTATCTTTTGACGCTTATATTTTATCTTCTTTTATTTTCCTCATTTATTTTTAACTATAGACGGGCTCGAGTGTTTTCTTCGCGGTCCCAGAAGGACTTCATAAGTTTTTGGTCTACACGAAGAAAAAATACAAGAATCCCACAATTTACGTTACTGAGAATGGTATGTCAAAGAACTAATCTACTATTGGTCTCTTATACAATAATTTGAAGCAGAATTCTTCAAACTTTCTTCACAAATTTTTGATTTTTTATCAGGAATGAGTGATGCTAATGTTACCGGCGTTCAGCAAGGAGTCAATGATTTCCAACGAGTAGATTTTTACCGTCGTCATCTCTTGGCCCTTAATGCTGCCCTTAAGTGAGTCCATTAATCTTTGCCTAAATATATCCCTCTCACAAAAATAGCTTTAGTTTGACTATTCCTTAAGAAAATTTGTTAATGTTGTGTGTTCGTATCAAATGTACTAGTCTTGCTTCGTCTCGATATTAATATATATGTTTAAGTTAAAAAATAATAAAAGAAAATTACGTTCTGAAATGATTAATATTAGTCTTATTTAGTTATTCAATAAAGGAAGAAACTTTATTCCATAAAAGTACAAGATTTAAAGTTTTTAAAGTAAAGCTCTTTTTAAAGAACTTTGATTCCGTAAATATTTAATATCCCAACAAAAAACTACAATTTATCCTCTCTTTGATATTTCTTCGGCAATAGAACATGAATCATGCATGAACTCGATGTAGCAAAATCATTGGCCACATAGCTATCCGAAGCTGTTAAAAATGGAGAAAAAGGTCCAATGAAAGCACAAAAAAATAGTAGAAGAAATAACTTAGACAAAAGATTGAAGCATACACTCTAATGCAAAAAGGCGACTATGCAATCAAGATTCACAATCAAGAGCATCAAAATAAAGATGTTTGGGTTGAATACGTGCATGCAAAATTCAACTACTAATGTGTAAAGCAAAATCCAACTACTAATATAAATATATGAATGCAAAATTCAACTACTATTGTGTAAAGAAAAATCCAACTACTAATACAAATACATGAATGCAAAATTCAACTACTAATATAAAAAATTTTACTCAAAGAAAGAGTACCATAAACCTTTGATTTTGTAGTTGATGCGGCCAAAGTTTTATAATGATGAAAATGTGTAATTATAACTTCTTTTATAGAAGTACCTGTGTATATAATTGTTTAAAAATTTATTCAAAAAACTCTAATAAAAAAGAAGTTCACGAAAGAGCTCGTTTTCACCTAATATATTTTATAAAAAATTAGTGTCAAACATTTATACCAAAACATTCCTAGTATGTGTATGTAGGGGTGTGAATGGATAATTAAAAATCGATTAAATCAACTGAATCGTACTGTATCTAAACAATTTTTAGGTTTATTTTAATAAAATTGTAGATTTTTATATAAATTTATAACCGTACCGATAATTAGGGTAGGTTTTTTATTTTATGAAAATAAATCGAAAAAATACTGAACCGTACCGAATAAATTTACAATGTGAAAAATATATTTATATATTAAGTTTCAAATAATAAAACATTAAAGTTTTTCTTGGGCCTTAGAATTATGAAACATTTACAAGCCAATAATTAATTAAAGTCAAAATCCTAATTCCCAAACCTATTATGCTACTCCTATTGAAACTAAATTATTTTCAGCATATTCACTAGCAAAACACAAGGTATTGTAGCGATTATGAGTAACAAATTACAATGTATTGAATATGTTTTCTTTCGTATGATTTAGATTTATCTTTTTGAATATTTAATATTCTATAGACTTTATTTTTGTGTCCAAGCTTGGTTAATATCTTTACACTCGTGTGATTTATATTTTTATTGTATTTGCTTAACTTCTTTTAGGTTGTTGTAGAATAATTGATGGATGTATACTCTAGTCATCTTTCATGTTTTCTTAATTCATCACATTTTAAACTGTAAAAATGTCGACAAAGTTTTGGTAAATTCTATAAAAGTACGTATGTTATTGCATTCTACTTCTACTAGTGACTTTTATATGATATTTAAAAAAATTACCGAAAATTAACCGAACCGAACCGATACCGAAGAGAAACCGACATGATTGGGACGGTTTCGAAAAGTCTAATTTTGGTTATATATAATAGAATAATCGAAAAATTAGTATGGTAAATATTTTATAAAATAACCGCCCGAGCCGAACCATTGACACCCCTATGTGTATGTGAATTAGTTAAAATTTTGTTTACTAAAGAAACATTCCAAGTGTGAAAATTTTAATACTTCTAAATTTGACTATAGTTGTAAGTATCGAAAGTTTCATAGTATATGTGAATTAGTGAAAATTTTATTAACTAAAACAACCGAAACCTTCCTTTTGTGTGCGAATTAGACAAAATTTTATTAACTAAAAAAAGACCCTCGTAAATTTAAGGAAAATTTTTATAATACTCCTAAATATTAATGGAGTTGGACGGAAACTTTCCTATTATGTAGTGAACGAAAATCTTTCCTACTATGTGTGCTTGAAATTCTAGAACAAAACAGAATTGAAGATCAATATTATAAATATTAAAGGAGTAATGAAATGGCAATTCCTATATAGCAGGGAATTAATTAAATGACTATTCTAAAATAGTAGGGAATTATTTTAAATGAGTATTCTTAAATATTAAGAAAATAGTAAAATGACTATTTTGTCAAGTGTGAACTCTATTTTAAAAGGATAAAAAAGTCGAACGATATTTCGCTAAGGACCTTCGTGCTTTTAATATAAACTAGTCTCTATATTTGTGCGTTGCACGAGAAATATGTATTGAAAATAATAAGCTTTCAATCGCTTATACTGTTGAATATGCACAAAGTAGGAAGTTTAATAATCAATTCTTTAAAATAAAAAAAATATAATATATAATTCAAATCAAGTTATCAACAACATTTTTGACATAATATAGGAGGAAAAAATGGAACTAATTAAATATTTTAGAATCACAATATTATATCATTAAAATTGTAAACTCGCTTTAAAATACGATATTATTCACTATTGTTTGTGAAGCGATGCTGAATAAGTATGAAGTTCCACAATTCTTAAAAAAAACATTATATGTTATCAAAACCAACTCATTAATAAATTTTTGACACAATCTAAAGATAAAATGAAACTCAACATTTTGAGAATTATGTTAAAAGATTTAAGATCACTTCGAGAATGCAACAAACACTTATGGGAAGGTATATTCAAAATTTGTGATCACGCCACACAATAAATTAACTTTGATAACCTAAGGCGTAAATATTACTATTTGTGGTGAATTTTATATTTGGTTCTATGGAGAAGAATTGAAATATATCTAATATTTGACTTGTTTTGGTTCCAACACATAATTAACTTCCCGAACTATAGATAATATTTTCTTCACACTTGATTGTCTAATATTTATAGTAAGAATTATAGATAATGAATATAGAATTTGATTTCCATTAAAATAATGAATGGACGAATATGTTTTCTTTACGAAGTGAACTCTAAGAATGATATTTTGACTTGGACTATACAATATTTGAATTGCTTTTTCGTTTTTAGACATTAATANATATATATATATAGATAGATATAGGTACGGTTAACTAAACTCATATTTTCTACAAAAGCCTTTTGTTATGTGTGTACTAATTTTGAAAATTAGTCGGAAAAGCAATATTATATACTTGAAAAAGTTATGCTGATATTAATACTTTTGTTGTAACAGGGATGGTGTGATTGTGAAGGGTTACTTTGCATGGTCGTTGTTGGATAATTTTGAATGGAATTCAGGTTACACACAGAGATTTGGGATTAATTTTATTGATTACACAGACAATTTAAAAAGGCATCCCAAACTTTCTGGGCTTTGGCTAAAAAAGTTTCTACTTAAATAGAGATATTTTGGAGTTCCATTGTTGTGGCTTATTACGATTAAAAGTAGGCACTATTGAACTGTATCTCCTCATTTTGCTTGCTTCATAATAAATGTGTGTATTAAATATATCATATGTTTTCTAATTATAGCATTATATTATTGCTAGATGTTGAATGCATCGAGGAGGACTATAATTATCCTTATGATATGATGATACTTCTCGATACTTAATCACTTGTTTGGCTAAACTTATAAGCTGGTCAAACTAGCTTATACATACTTTTTGGCTTATATACGCGTTTGATAAACACCAAAAGTGTTTATAAGTCAAGTGCTTATAAGCCAAAATAAGCCATAAGTCATAAGTTGGTCATCCCCAACTTATGACTTTTCAACTTATAAGCACTTTTAGTTTGATCAAAACTTTTACTATTTTGTACATATTATATTATTATATAATTCTGAAATACATTTATCTTAATAAAACTCTTAATTCTATTCTTCACTTCACTCCGTCATCTTTTCCAGGTCTTATTTCCCAGAAACATTATCCACCATCATGAACAACAAAAAACTCTTTACCGTCAACATAAATCAATCAAATTAATTTGAGTTAGAAAAATTCTATCTTATGTAAATCGACTTTCTTCATCTCTTTGAAAACGTGGCTGTTTTGCATCATTCAAAATTCTATTGTGAAATGTGAACTAAATTATCTATTTTTAGTTGCATTTATTAATGCTTCCTCATTACTTTTCATCTCGGTCTTATCACTCGCCTTTTCTTTATCCTTACTCATGTCTTCCTAAAACCTAGTCGCTCTACCATACATTAGCTTATGACCTGTCCATATCTATTTATACTAGCAACCTTCCTTCAACTTGCTTGTACCATAGATTTCCTTATGTTATTCTATAACATCAAGCGAGAAATCACATCATCTCTAACTCTTCTTTACTCTTTTAACTAGACCTCTCGATACATAGAAACCATATGCTGGAAAATATGCCACTGACGACGCTGCTATCATTCCTGGATACTGAATCCCAGCGCGTCTAGCCATCTATCCGAAATATGGACAATTCACAACCTTCTGTATTTGAATATCTCGTACGCTGTACACATTTACCTTACTTACCTTAAAATCTTGCCACATCATCTATCTCTTTCGTGACCTCCCTTCCACATAGGTATAATTAACATCCACAACTTGAAGCTTTATTACAATACTTGCACCTTTGGCGCATACACAATCCGGTGGNGTGGTGCCAAGTTAGATTCCTGCGTTATTATAGTAGAAATTCTTCTACTATAAGCTTGCGAGCTGCGGTTCGGACTTTTTGGAATGAACAGTACCCTACGTATTGAGAGGAAAATATTTCGCAGAAGAACGCATTTCTGCGGCCCATTATGCGGCCGCATAATCACTCTGCGGGCCGCATAATGGCCGCAGAGTGAAGCAGTATGTTGGCCAGTTTGAGGTCAACTTTGCGGTTGATTATGCGACCGCATAACCACTATGCGGACCGTATGTCGATCGCATAATCGCTCTTGGGTTTTTGCGGAGGGAGTTCTGTGGTGCATTATGCTACCGCAGAACGAGTATGCGGACCATATACTAGTCGCATACCTGAGCCGTAAGTTCAGGCCCCTAAGGGCCATTTCTGCGGTCACTTTAGGGTATATCGGAAGGGGCCGGTCCTGAAGCTCTCCGAACTGGGGAGAACGCCCCAAGCGAGTCGCCTGGGGTAATAGTAATCGGAGACTCGCCCACTCTCCCTGCCTTTTTCAAAGGGGCGATTCGGGAAGCCCAGGCTTTGGGGGCCCTTGAGTTGAGCCAGTCTCATGAAGGGGAGGACCCCTTCAGTGGTTTGTTTACTAGGGTCGAGGACGCTGCCAACCCTAGTGATGTGCCGGGCCTTTTCTACGAAGTGCAGCAAGCTCTGAATCGGGTAAGCTTTAACTCACTTTGTTGATATTATTTTTATGATTGCTTATTCTTTTCTAACTTCTTTTCTTCTTTCTTCGCAGGCCGTGGCGGTTCATCGAGAAGCATGTTCTCGGTCTCTAGCTGAGCTACATTGACTTGAGGCCGACCTCCGACGAGCTACAGAGGAGAGGAACGCCCTCAGACTCTTTTCCGGTCAAAGAGAATAAGAAATCAAAGGCCTTCGAGCTGAGTTGGCCAAGGCTCATCAAGACCAGACCGACCTGACCGAGCAGGTAATGATAATATTAAGAACTCATGGGCTTGATTCAGGATCAGAGGCTAATATTTCGATCTCACAGCTGCAGCAGAAACTCGAGACGATCGGGCACTTTCGTGAAGAAGTTAATATAATAAGGGCAGAGACCATGGGATAAAAATATGGCATGGACTGTCTTGCTACAGAAAATGAGATTGTTCGGGCCCATTTGTCATCGACTGTAAGCCAACTTCAAGGCATGAAGGAGAAGAGCCTGGTTCAAGCGAGAAGAATTGAGGAACTCGAGGCTTGGTTGGCCGCCGAACTTGCCAAGGCCAAATCTGATGCCGAAAAGGCAAAGTCCTATGTGGATGTATTAGTGGCCGTCTATCGGGCGGATGTTGAAGCTGCTTAGGTACAAGCAAGAGAGGCAGCCGAGACCGCCAATACTCGAGCACACTTGGTTGCCGAACTTGCTAAATGCCAATCTTGGAGGGAGACCCTCGAAGATATCCATGCTCGAGGTTTCGATCTTACTGAAGAGATAAAAAGAGCAAAAGAACTTGAAGCCGATGTTGAAGCCTTGGCTTCCGATGATGATGATGGTAGTGATGATGATGATGGCAATGATGGGAGCAAGAGTGGGTCCGAGAGCGGGGAGGAGCCCGATGGAGAAGAGAAGCAAGAGATAATAAGATTCTTGTGCCTTTCACATGATGGCAAGATAGATGTTATGCGTTGTACGAAAGCTAGATTTTCATGTACAAGGTGGCAGTACAGTCTTGAAGAGAAGGTAACGAATGTTGGACAACATGGACAATTTCAAATAACTAGATGAATACTATTATTACTTGGTGTTGTATGAGAAAGGGACGAACTTCAGAAGGCGCATTGTATTTTGACTTACGATTAGTATTGCGGTACTCACATTGTTGATAGACTGCTGATATTCAAATTTTGTCAAGTGGTACGAAGAACTTTCAAAGTATTTCTCGTGGGATAATCGTGTATGAGAGAGGTGTTAGGCATTCAGGCGGTGGAGATTACTCGGACTGTGCGCGCCCAGACCTGGCCTCGCGAGGCCTAACGTCTGGTAGACCTTGCCCCAGGCCTGGCGTCGCCAGGTATAAAGCCTGGTCAATCTCGCTTCTGCCTCGCCTCGCCAGGTCTATCGCCCACTACATGCCAGGTATAAGGCCTGCTCTAGGCCTAGCTTCACCAGGTATAACGCCTGGTGTAGGCCTGTCTTCGCCAACTTCTTCTTTTCAACTGCTCCCGAGCACACTTTCGACTTTTAAGTATTCCTTTTTCTCTACTTTCATCTCCAATTCATCTACACATAAAATGGCCTTCATTAAGAGCAAATAAAGTATAATTTGGTAATAATGATGTTCTTATTGTACTTTAGCTCACTGTTGCTAAAATAATAAATACTTACAAAATATTAATTTAATCCAATCAATTTGGAACTAAAAGTAAATCCATAAGTTAATTTATACTTCAATCAATTTAGAATTTTAAATCTTGTATAAGTATATATTTATTAGTGTAAACAGTTTTAGGGGCATTTAATTCATTACATCACAAGAAAATGCTTATCATCACTTATTTATCAAACACTTTAACTGTTTATTATCAGTTTCAGCACTTAAATCCAAACATGTATCTGCTTATTTATTAAATCAATTTCAACACTTAAAAATGCTTTTCAGCACTTGATGTTTATCAGCCACTTTGAATCAGCTAAACCATACGGGCTTAGTGTATGAGTGATGAACTTTCTTGGAACGTCAAGTGATGATTCCAAATGGTTGAGAGATGACAAGCCAATACAACGTAAGGTATTTATAGCTACGAAATTTCAGTTATGAATTTAAAAATCGTGGCTAATACCGAACAATAGCCACAAAAATTAGAATTTTCTGTCTATTTACAAATTCGTAAAATTTTCTAGCCACGAAAATTAAATTGGTAAAGCCAATTCCTTATTTTTGTTATAATTGCTAAGAATCGTAGCAATAATTGCCTAAATAGCTACAAATTTATTGCTACAATAAAATTGCGTAGCTAATTCATACATTTTAGTCACACATTAAACGTTATTGTAGCAACTAGCAATAGTAACCTTTTAGCCACAATAAATTATTTGAAATAAAATATTGTAGCTAAAGAAATACATTTGCTTTAAATTATAAAAACTTGTGGCAATAGGTAAATGGTCTAGCCACAAATTTATTGTTATGACAAAATATTGTAGCTAATTTTTAGTTTTTTCTACAAACTGAAAGTTATTGTATCAAAAGTAACCTTTCAACCATAATAAATTATTTAAAACAAAATATTATAGCTAGATAAATATTTTTGATTCAAGTTCTAAAAAATGATGACAATAATTGACTTAATAGCTATAATTATTTTTCATTACAGACTGACCTAGCCACAAATTTATTGCTCTGCTAAATTTTCGTAGCCAATCATTAGCTTTTGCCACAAGTTGAAACTTGCTATAGTAATAATAACCTTAAAGGCCTATGAAAATATTCGAAACAAAATCTTGTAGCTAATAATGAGTATTTTTACTTCAAACTAGAAAGAAAATGAAAATAGTTGGCTTTAAAAAATGAAAATGGTTGCCATGACAAAATAATGAATATTTTTGCTCGATTATGAAAATCATGACAAGAGTTGTCTAACACTATTAGGTAACAAAATATTAATGTTAAATGTAACAGTTGTATTTTTCTTATAAGATAGAAAAATAGTAATTGTATATGATTAAGGAAGAAAATAGTAGTTGTATATTAGATTAAATAATTATTTAAAATGCAAAATT